GAAGCGGGGCTGCCAGGTGTCGCAGTGGATCAGGATCGCGTGGAGCTCGTCCTGAGACTTGCGCCACTCCCCCGCGAGGCCCACCTGGTGGGGGAAGCGGGGGGGGAGGGGGGGGGGGGAAGCGTGGCGCACCTTTGGCGATGGGCGCACGGTCTTGTTCCAGACCTGCTCGTACCGGCAGTTCTGCAGCAGGCGGATGCAGCACATGACCGAGTCGATGACGTGGAGCACGCCGCGTCCGTCCGGCAGCTGCACGTCCGTCCTCTCGAGGGAGGCGGACCCGACTTGCAGGACCTTTTGGCCGTCGTCGGCGAGGACGACGTGGTGCGTCTGCTGCGAGATGGTCGTGATCGAGCGGGTGTTGAGGAGCTCGGCGTGGGAGAGGGAGCCGAGGGTGATGTGGACGCAGAGGAGCTCGCGCAGCACCTGCAGGTCATCAGGAAGAGCGCCGAGCCGCGCGAAGGCCTCGTCGGACGGCGCAAAGAGAGTGAGCGGCGACTCGCAGGTGTCGACGTAGTTGCCGAGGAGGTCGGCGGCCTCGAGGGCCGCGACGAACCGCCCGAGACCGAGCTCCATCGCGAAGGCCTTGAAGGAATAGGCTGGAGGGGCATCAGCAGTCGCCTCGGCCGCCGCCGGCGCGGGCGCAACGGCTGCGCCAGCAGCCTCGCCTTCGGCCGCGAGCGGTTCGAGCGGAGGCGCGACCGGGTCGCCGCCCACCACCGAAGACGCGAGCAGGGGCTCAGTCATCTCTCCCCACCGCCGGGAACGCGACAGGTAGTCTCGGTGCTGTACAGCAGGTCCTCGAGTTCTTCTCTTGCTAGTTTTCTTTTTCCTCGCTTTTCGCCAAATGAGTTCGCCAAATGAGTTCTCCTTCCGACTTTCCTTCGGGAACTTGCTGGATCTGGTGCTCGATTTCTCCTCCGAACGGCTCGCCCAATGGCGCAGGACAAGAAGCTGAAGGATGCGATCCACAATAAGCTCGTCGAGACGGGCGAGTACGACCGGTGCGGCAGAGCCCTCGGCGCTGCCACCTGGCGCCCAGCCCCGCTCTGAGCGCGCGTCGGCGCCCCAGGCTCAAGGAGCTGCTGCGGCAACGGCTGGTCGAGTCGCAGTGGCGCGACAGCCTCAAGCAATACACGATGGGTGTGGCCGACCCCACCCCATCCCAC